TATTGCAATTTCAACAAATGTTATGTTAATATTAAAAATAATATATACAGGTTGTAATATTAAAAATAATGTATACAGGTTGTATCATTTGAAATGTAATTCTAAACTCTAACAGTATATGAAAGGTTACATGTGACATTAGTATACAACAAGACAAATGATGGGGCTAATATTTCTTCATCGTTACCAAGCTTACCACCCATCACAAATGTTGTAAACATTTCCTCTGTCTCGTAATTCTGTTACCAACCGATGTATTATTTTATTTCTCGTCAGGTTACACGTTGTTAAATGCTTCATGAAGAGCGGCAAATGATTTCACTGCGAAGAAATATTCAAGAACAAACACACATTCATCTCGTGAATGCACCCTGCTGCCACCTGCAGAGCGTATGTACAACTGGCAACAGCAGGAGCCTAGCAACCAAGGTGATATTAATTCGAGTGTCACGAGAATAGTGGAGAGTATCAACTATATTGGGGGAATAGATTATAATTTCATTTCTGCACCGAAGTAGGTAATTCTTGTTTGGGTTGCCTTTTAAACGTCACACCGTGTATATTCTTTCACTGAATGCACTGCTGCTTCGCATTCAGGAGGTCATGGGTTGAAATCTTGACCCCAAGACCTGCTACCCTCGAATTCTTCTCCGTGTTTTTTTTTCAAAGAAATGCTGGAATCGCACTCGTATATCGAGTAGGACCCCGTATCCTACCCAGTCCTCTCTAATTCATCCGTCAAGTCCTCCATACAATTCGACCATAGATAAATATGTGATTGAAACTTTATCATTAGAATATTCAGTGATCACTTTTTTTTTCCTTGGCACTACAACCCCAGTGGGCCTAGGCCTACCTCCATGAACTCCGTTCACTCAGTAATCACTTAGCATTCCGAATTCTCAGTTTTCTCCAACCGGAAATTGAGTGCAACAACAGGATGCCACGGGGTTATACGAAATGGTATCTCTGCGCGAACAAACAAGTTTGTTGTTATGTTATATAATTGGGTCGAGCGGCTTGTTAGAGGACTGTAATAACAGTGAGTGAAGATTGAGTCAATCTAAGGCTGGTTTCCTAGGCGACGGGCTGGATGCCACACTTTCCTTTCATTCTGTTTCGCTTGACGTCCCTCAACTTCTCCATTCTCCTTTATCGCCGAAGAAGGGAGATGTGTGTGGCAATGTGGAGAGATGATGAAGTGACGCATGGGGTTCAGTAGTGGGCTTCGGAAAATAATCATAATCCATTTCAATACTAAGCCCGTTTAAACATACATTAATAATTATTAAATTTATTTTGATAACAGTCGGCAAAGGAGGGCACAATGCTGTAAGCCGGTAGGTAGGGGTTCGACTCCCGGTAAGGTAATTTGGATTTCTTAATTTACCTAACCCTTCCAGCCGCACTGTGGCCCTGGGGTAGACTCAGCCTCTGACAGATATGAGTACCAGGAATATTCCTGGGGGTACAGGGTGGCCGGCGCTTCAGGCTGAAAACCTTACACTATCTGTGAGCCTGTTGTCTAGAAAATGTGGGAGCCTCGGCGTCTCATAACCCTATGGGCCTCCACGGCCTTTGACAGTGGTAACAGTTGAAACGACTTTAATAATAAGTGATTTTTAAAACATTATATGTTTCGGCCCACAGGTTATCATTAGATGTCAAATTAACCGGAAACGTTATTACTGAATTCTCAAATTATCTCTTTACTTTATTGGAAATATGGGCGCAGTTTCAAATGGGTTTGCGTTCTATTATATGTTGAAGTTTTTCATATTTCTGAACGTTACAATATGGTAAGAAGTTGAATTCAGTCCCTGGTTGATACGAGTGCTGTGTCATAAAATGCGCATTTACTGTGAGGATGTGTGTAAGTGTGAATTTTATTTGTCTTTTTAATTACTAATTGGCAATAACTATAACATTATTACCATAAACAAGCAGAATTTATTGGCCTGGTGAGCGACTGTTAGCTCTTCAAAATGGACTCTACTTCATGGAACAATTTACCTGTATAAAATATTATATACAGAGTTTTTCTAAATTATTGTCTGTGTTTACGTGGCAAACAATTTTCAAACCGGGAACAACAAAAATATATATATGCATATTGTATTTGTTCAGATTTCTGAAGTATTAATTCTATAAGTAATAAAACTTTTTGAGTTACATTTTCATATTCCATAAGCAGTTTCATTTTGATCACTCCGATTTCAAAATAAAAGGTTATGAAAACCCCGACAATAATTTAGAAGACCCTGTTATATATTTCAATTCGTAAATATAAATATTAACCAGTAATTACATAGAATTACCAAAAACAGTGGTAAATATTATAAATATTCTGAAAATAATTACCGTTACCGACAATTATGGATAATAATAATAATAATAATTGCATTTAAATTAATTCTTTTCACAGGATTTATCACATTTTATATTGTTTTTCGTAATTAAACATTATTACCGGTAACTATTCAAACTTTTCTTCTCCCTTGTCGGGGTAGGCTCTCTGACCGATTGCAAGTCAGAATTAATTCTGAAATTATAAATATTATAAACAGGACTGCAGACATCCTTGGATTGGGGATCAGACCGACGCAATGCAGCTACTTACACATGACAACAAAAACACAGAATAAACGCAAACAGACATCCAAATCTTGAGTGGGATTCGGTCACACGATCCCATTGTTTGAGCAGGTGAATACACTTTGTGTCTTAGGCCACTCGGCCACTGTAATTGCTTATTATTATACACAATTTCAAGTTTATTCGCATTTAACGCAACATGTATTTTTATATATTACGACATCCATAAACTTCGATTTCGGGCCTTTATATGGGGGGCGGATGTGGGCAGGCATATATGAGTACCCATGAATCTGCAGTGTGGGGACAACAGGGTGAGATTGGCTCAAGATATATTTCGGTTTGTGAGTGCTTTCCAATAGTTCTTTACCCTGATAAAGTAACATAAACATCTCGTATTTGAATTGGAACATGTCTTTAGTGACTTTTATATCTGAAGATTATTGTCTCCTGGGACGAGACCTTGTGTAAAATATAAATATTGCGACATGATGCCTGAAAGACGTAATAGTCCATTGCTAGACAACGGCTCGATAAAACGCGTATCCGCGGCAAAGGATACAATTGTAGAAATCAAAACGTTGCTGCAAAATTGATTCACGTTTCGTAGCAACGGATAGACACTAAATAACAGACGAACAGTTCTCTGTTCGGTTCACCCCGAATTTAAAAAGAGTTTTATAAGTTTCATTTCCTGCATCCTGTTGTGTTTTAATATACAATTTCTTTATGAAATCCGTCACACCACAACTAATTAAGGTCAGGAGCCAAAATTGGCACTGACCTTAATTAGTTCTGTTGTGACGGATTTAATTAAGAAATTGAATTTTAAAAGAGTGACATGTAATTGTTTCGAGAGTTCAGTCGTGAGTTCATTCATCATTCAGTCGAAAGAGAATTGAGAAGTCAGTTCAGTAGCTCACCGTTCAGATGTGGAGCCTTAACCAGCGGACAACGGAAACCGAAGAAGTGACCGATTCGTAAATGAGAACCAAGTCAGTCACGCAGAAGGGAGGGCACTCGTAGTCCAGTAATGAACGAAGCGAGTCTTAAGCAATCATTGATTCTGAGCTGGTTGTAATTAAGAGTGATTGTAAAGAAGTCATCAGTATATCAAATCATCCAATGCAGAACCCGTTATTATTAGTCACAGAACCCAGAACACGTGACAGTATTTATCAGACTACACGGCGTCATGTCTTAGAAGTTACTATTCGTTGTTATATCTGTAACATATATTTCATAATAACTAATTCTAAGAATAAACTAACTGAACTATTATTTCCATATTTATTAGATTTTTATTGCTTATTACAGAAAATGTTACGGGTGATTACGATTATTTTGCATTTATCAGCATATATTCGTTTATCTAAACTGATTTATTTTCATCGTTTAATTATCTCGCCCCTGATTATTTGCGAAACGCTGCAAGGCGCTCTGGTTCCGGCAATTTTCCAGACTTTGAGATATTTTAATGTCTTAACGAATTCGATTTTTAGTTTAAAGTTCGACTTATGTACCAGACGTATTGGTTTATTCTGAAATGTAGGTTTATAGAAGCCGACCAATTCATTAAAATACAATAATAAATTATATTTGTTTTTAATGCTATAAAGTTGTACACATTTCTGGTAGAATCCTTGGTTATTTGAAGGCTCTGAACAAACAAATTCGTTCCAAATTTAAAAGATGGTTTTTTCATCGCTGTTTCTGAGTTGACAGAAATTATGAGGCCGATTAAAACGAATTTCAAGAATATCTGATATTCTTACGGCCGAGCCTATGGGTTATATTGTACTGACGTTTTGGAAGGACATGGTGCCGCCGTCTTAGACCTACGGGACTATACAACGTCGGTGATAGGATGATTAATGAGTGTGGAGTGAAAATTGGCAGGGTAAACTGAAGTAATCGGAGAAAGTTCAGCCCGGTGCAACTTTATCTAGCACAACCTCCTGATCTGGGATCGAAATTGGGCCGTCGCAGTAGAAAACCGGCGACTTCCCTTCTGAGTTATGGTACCACCCTAACAAATGCTATATTTGAGTTTCTCACGGGAGTGACTACGAAGAATTCTGTCTTTTGGGATGTGACGCCGTGCAGTCAGGTAGAAATTCATCGACATTTCGGGGGAAGGGCGAATATTATATCAAGTAAGGCAGTTTCTCCGTAATTTCGGTGTACTTCTGTAGGAACACACTACGTTATATCCCAGCCACATCTGCGAGAACCTCAAATCCAATATCATCATAAGTGCCGTACAGTATCACGTGGAGGCTTCAAAACAAGACAATTCGGGCGCTGGTTGCCACTTGCCTTCACGCGCATGGATGTTATGTTTGGGGTGGGGGGAGAGTAGAGTGGAGAGAGTAAAGAGTGTGGTGTAGAGGCAGTGAGCTGAGAGCACGTGACCCTCACGTATAACTCTCTCTCCGAGTGCCGTTCGGCCAAGAAATGCAACCCGATCAGTGAGTGAAATGGGCGTGTGAGTTCAATGACGGGTCCTACTTTTCTACAGCCTGTGATAAAGGAAAAATCAAACCGGAGTGTAAGCATAAATTTAATTTCTCTTTAGGAGGCATAACGTATTTTGTCGTATCATATAGGCCTTTGTTTAGTGTTATAATATAGCACATTCATCATATTTTTATGTACACGTGTTTTAAAATTTATTAAGAAATTTTAATTAAATAAGAATGTAGATATATGAGACGCATAACCTAGTTTTACGTATGATAGAATTTAAAAATTTCGTATACTAGAATGTCTTTCGTGATGCAGACAGCCCCTGACGATTAACTGTAATAGTTCGAAACATGTCAAAAAAAGGGGGGGGCCGCGTTGATAAACGCGAACAATCGATGTGCTATATTATGATGGTAAAGAATGTATCATAATGTAAATTTTCCATTTTCTTACAAATCAACTACACGAACATGAGTTATTTTGACCCATTTGACCGTAGTTTCTGTAGTTGTTCGTATTTTTTAACATATTTTGTGCAGTCAAATTGCTTTAACTCTGCTACTGTATGTGTGACATTACTGTGCAGTAATTCGTGTATTTTTCTTGGTATTTTAATCAATCATGAGACAAATCATTAAGGAAAACACGTTTCAAATTAAATGACAAATAATCCGAGATAATTAATCTTGTTCCTCGTGATTTCTTTATAATTTTGAAAACAATAAATAGCCGTGCAGTTCAGTACACCATTTTTAAAACTAAAATATAAATGTATTAATTTAGTGATATGAATTGAATTTATTTACGCCATTTTAGGCTGGTTACCTGCAGGTGTCCATAAATGTCCTTGGTCATGTAGACTAAGTATCGATGTTTATTACGCCAAACTATTGGAACTATTTTATGAATGGCATAATTTTTAAGAGAAAACTATATAATGATAATAGCGGCCAAATAATTATACATTATTCTTATACGGATAACTTGTATTTAATAATTATGTGATTTTAACATGTGAATACACTGAATAATTTATTAGTTAATTGCATCTTCAATTATAGTTGAGAATTCTTACTGCAGAAAACCAGGATTTTAAAATGGTCGGTAACTTAGTGTGTAATTAATCTAGACTTTGAGAAATAAAGGTGTTTAATCGAGTAGAAATCCGACGACGTTTCCGAAGTCAAAACGTCTGTAGGCTAGAACTGGATTACATGTCGTTACATCCCACAATCATTAGTGGGTTAACCTGAAATCTAACGCATCCTTTGATGTATTTACAATTATGTGGATACATATATCCATTAAAATTTTCTCGAACCATGTTTTATATTCAACTTCATCTGTTATTCCATAAGTACCTCGCCTTTTCTTGAATCATAGTTACCATCCAATAGTTCTTTCAGTCCTATATTATGGCATACTTTATTTATTATGTTGCAGGTTGAATGTTTGTACACTTTCCAGTTATACTGGTCCGTTTACTCTAACAATCGGTATTTGAGTCTGTTGTCTCGGAGAGGAAGTTTTCTATTTGCGAGGTTTGTCGCATTGTCAGAAATAATTCAACTTTAGCAATTTTAAGCCTTTTCATAGTAAGGCTATTACTACATTAGATGGGGCGCATTCTCAGAATGCTTATAGTCGTTATATGAAAAGTAACATTAATACCATTATGATACTTTGATACCTATAATCGTGTGCTCCAAAGTTTAGCCAATAATCATAGATGATGAAGATGGTATGGTGATTAGAATGAATTAATTTAGCTTCGAAAACAGTTTTCTTCAGCAAACGATATTTTTACGACACAGAGAAGAGCTGTTTTCCTTTTTTTCGGAGAATTTCTTATATAACTCTTAATAATTCGCCATTTTACTTCATGGCTACTGTAAACAAGGCGACACGCATTAACACTATAAAGCTCAATGGTTACTATATGTACCATTTGCTTTAACATATTTAAACTATGCATTCTGCCCACACAGTCTATTTGTGTGTTTCATATGGTTCTCGCAGTAAACTGCATTGACCGGTTGGGCTTTGTAGCGGAGACGTGATATGTTTACTGGGAGGTAGAGACTGGATCTCTGTGTTATTTATACGTTCCGTATGGTTCTCACAATAAAAAGCGACTGTTTCCCTAAACAGCATTAACCGGTCGGGCTTTGTACCGGATACGTAATGTGTTTCCTGTGAGATACGAACTGAATCTCTATATTATTTGTGTGTTCCGTATGGTTCTCACAATAAACAGCGACTGTTTCCCTAAACAGCATTAACGGGCTGGGCTTTGTATCGGAGACGTAATGTATTTCCTGTGAGATACGGACTGAATCTGTATATTATTTGTGTGTTCTTTATGGTTCTCACAATAAACAGCGACTGTTTCCCTTAACAGCATTAACCGGTTAGGCTTTGTAACGGAGACGTAATGTATTTCCTGTGAGGTACGGACTGAATCTCTATATTATTTGTGTGTTCCATGTGGTTCTCACAATAAACAGCGACTGTTTCCCTTAACAGCATTAACCGGTTAGTCTTCGGAGACGGAGACGTAGTGTGTTTCCTGTGAGGTACGGATTGAATCTCTATATTATTTGTGTGTTCCGTATGGTTCTCACAATAAACAGCAACTGTTTCCCTAAAGAGCATTAATCGGCTGCGCTTTGTAGTAAGGAGTCAGTTGCGGCATGTTCGAGACACTTTCTTAGCATTACCAGGACGGATTCAGAAAAACTACCAAGAACCTCAGTCAGCATGGACGGTGTCTCGGACAGATTCTAACCGAGCACCTCCAGAATAGGAATCTATGGCGTTATCGCTACTCCAAATCGCTCGCCCAGCTACGATTTCATATTCGCTTATTGTGATGGCTGGAACGTTTGTGGATATTTGTGTTTATCTGAAATTTCCGGGACCACGCTCTATCTCAGACGGTTAGTCGCTGGTTTCCCGCTACGGCGGCACGGGTTAGATCCAGGAGAGATCATGTAGGATTTGTGGTGAACAAATTGGCATTGAGGGCAAGTTTTCTCCGAGTATTTTGTTCCCCCTATGAATTCTCGCCCCACCAAGTGCTGCATGTTCATTAATCGTCTTGACAGTGACAGCGTCATTAAATAACTAAAAAGAACTTGATATTTTAGGTTAGTAGTAATTTTTAAAAAGAAATATATTTGTTTTGAAGAAAAAACATTAATTTTGAACAGTGATGTATGGCATAGCCTTTTTAATTTCTATATTTTTATTTTTCTCAAATAACCTCATTTTAACATCAACAAAAATCAGATTCGCCTTAGGAATAATTGAGACATTTTTACGGGAACTTGACTAAGTTTCGTAATTTGACGAACTTAGGGAAAATGAGGTGTAAGTATCCCAATGGTGTCGCGCAACTCCATGTCCTATTGATTTCTTCTGAACTGTCCTCCTAGCATTTCCTGTCTGCGGTACTAGGGCAGATGAAAGGTCAAGGGAGCCCTGCAGTACAATTCATCAATGTCTGTCTGCACCTTCTTCTACCTTTCGTGTTAGACCTTCTGGTCTGTTTCCATCAGAATTAATCTGTAACTATGGGTCTTATAGACAGCCTGTAGGATTCCTTGGAAGGGGATCAGCTCTTTCACAAGGCCGCTTTCGAAACCGGGCAACACGAATACAGAATAAACGCACGTAGACATCCATGCCTTAATAAGGATTCGAAGATCCCAGGGTTTGAACTGGCAGTGACATTTCATGCATCAGACTACGCGGGCACTGTGATTTGTGTCTGTACCATCTCATGCCCGAAATTGTAAGTAATTGCATATCCCCGTACCCAAATCAAACCGTGGGAGGCAGAGAACGGAACTAAGTTTATTCAAATATGTTCATCCTAATCGTAAAATAACACAACGGATTAAGTTGTACCTATGGTCGATTAATTAAGCACCACGCCATGAAGACGTATGGCGGAATGAAGCTGTAGCTCCACCATTGTTGACTTCGGCACTAGATGGAGGTGTGTGGTCAGCTTCAGTCTCCTGCCGCTTTACTCCTGATGGAAGAGCCACCGGTACCCATTAGACACGAGGCCGGTTGGGAATCAGAGTGGGTCTGGAAGTTGTAGAGAAGAAAAACTTTCTTTCCTCTCCTGGGAATCGAACTCCGAACGTCTAGCCTACTAGCCCGTAACTATGCTGACTGAGCTATCTAATATAAGTATTTTAATGTTAGCTTTACATGGAGTTTGGGGTTCTCGGGTCGGAATATGAGGATCGCTCTCTTCTGATGTCTGACGCCGTGTATATTTCGCGTGCTGTTTAACGACGGTTACAGTATCGTGACCATACAACATGACATGGCAGGATGACCGCAGAATGTTAACCTATAAAATATACGAAGTTAAGCGGTTGTAGATTAGTCAAGATTCTTTCCTCTCATCTGTCTGAATGGAGCGAGGAAACCCACAGGACAACTGGGTGTCCCGGCGAAATTTGAATCTAACATCTCCCGAATAAAACAGTAGTGCGTTTCCTGTAAACCAACCTCCGTGACGCTGTATATTCTGGTAGAAAATTACGAAATTTATGCCTTTCTTGCCTAAATTAAGGATGGAAACAACAGGTTACTCAAACGCTGATAACTTTCTACCAGGCGTCACATCTCGAAAGACATTAACCATTATAATCATCGCCATGAGAATTTAAAACCTCGCTTATTTAACTTAACCCATAAATTTAGGCTGAACTTTCTCCCGAAATGTCGGAAAATATTTACCAGACGACAAGATAAACCACATCCCAGAAGATAGTAATTGTCACATTTTTCAACCTCTGTTTTATAAATCATTTATGACATAGTCCGAACTTCAGTTTTCGTCTGATGTAGATTTTTCCTTGTTCGTTCTCTCGCCGAGATGATGGTTTTATTTTATCACACGAAAGATACTGCACCGTCTTTCATGTCCAGGGTTGTCAGTGCATCTTATCGCTCGGCCACCGACTGTTTTCGTGCTACGAAGAAGCAAAAATAAATCAATAAAAGCTCGTTGCTCAGGGTTGTCATATACGTTAGACGTTATGGTTCCGTATTATTTCG